GCCTTTTAAGTTTGTAAACCTAATCCTGTGTGTTCCAATATAATTTGTTCGTTATGCATAGATCTTGTGTGGTCCTTTAATGATTTCACAGGACCTCCTCCGTGGTCTAGTGGTAGAGCGTCTGTCTGGAGAGTGGAAGGTCCAGGGTCCGGGGTATGATCCCCAGCCGCATCATACTAAAGGACGTTAAAATATGGTACTTGTTGTTACCCTGTCTGGCGCTCAGCATTAAGGGGCTGAAACCAGGACTGGTTGTCTTGGAGTCAGTGTACTGTGTCTAGAATGGGTATTCATGTTAAACTGTGTCATGGTATCTCAGTGGGCTAGCACTATAAATCGGCATCAGTGTGGACTGGTGCGCACGCACGCACGCACGCACGCACGCACGCACGCACGCACCCCATTTCACCTACCCTAATGATTTCACAATCTTGTTCTGTACGTACCGATTTCTGGGTCAACCTATGCATTTCATCTTGGGATGAACACAACAATCAATAGGGTCAATACACATTTATGATAATTGGTTTCATATAAGTTGTAAAATAAATCCCAAATTACAGAACATGAAGTGAAAATAGCTATTTGGTATGTCCATGTCAAAGACAGATGTCAATACTGTAAATATATTTGGAAACCAATAAGCTCCAGTATTACTGTTTACGTATTCAAGTTTTTCTCTCAACCTTCTGTGAGTATATGCTCATATCCACAACCCTCTACTGATGCTGCACAGTAGCGTGAACAACAATAACCAACGTTATACGCAGCATGGTTTATTAACATACGTGGCAATAGATTATGCAGCAGAACAGACAGTGTTGACAGAGCAGAAAAAAAACATATTTCTACTTGTAATGCACAGACAGTACAAAAACGACATTGCATCTCAAGTGGCAAGTTGTCTGGGAAACATTACGTAAATGGCACTCCATTTGTATGTACATGGTTTCTGTTTTAGTACATTGAAAGGTATTACACATTTTGAATATGAAAATGATTTTATTATCTTCATGAAAAGACTTTGTTTTTGTCTCATCCTGGAGGAGAGAGGTAACTTGCCTCCATATTACCCTCGTTATCCTTCTGACCCTGCAAACAGCATCTGTACCATCAGACAAACCCAGATAACCATGCCAACCACAACATGCATAGTTATATTTTTCTAAAGAAATAGTAATTTCAACCTTAATTCAAACGATATTTCTTGATTTTGTATTTAGATAGTAGGAATCGTACAATCGACTCTGCTTTTGGCAGAGATTTCTTATGTATGTGGAAAGGAATTTGTCACTAATATTAATTATTATATAAGTTAGCATTTAATTTTGTCCGTAGCCTTGCTCCAAGTCTGTACTGAAAGATAAGCCCATGGATGTGTAGTAATTCTATCCTTATGATAGGCAAGTCTAGATAAACGGACAGTCTAAGGATGCCAATCTTTTATAGGGACAACTTGTTCTCATTATTTATATAATCTAGAAATTATGATTTAAATAATTATTGCCTTAGAGACTTGGTGCAAGTCTATTTTGTCTGATATATTTATGTAAATTTTCAACAATCTCATATACAATAGTGTTAGAAGATCTTTTCAGAAATCTTTACCGATATGTTTGTATTTGAGTTTAATATTATTTCAAATTAAGTTCAAATTAACCTGATAATCATGTGGATATCTTTATTTCCTGTCTCTTGGAATTTTCACCTAAAAAGTCAACAAAACATGAGAGAAATCCTTTTTGCTTTAAAAGTACTTCCTCTATTTTTGGGAGGCTGAAAAGTCCATTTAACATCTTCCACATTTTTTTATGAATTCAAGAAATCACTCTACAGTAGTGAGATGCAAAGTTATCTCAGAGCAAAACCAGAAACAAGACCTCCAGAAACTAATGTAACCTGTCATTCAGTTACCTGAAAAAGATAGAAACAATATATACACATGTATATATTGATCAATATGTAGTGGGTGTACCGAATAATATCCAAATGTAAAAACAGGAAATCTTGGCATCTTGCTTCAATGTTCAGATTGTGTCAATATTTAATTTTAGATATGTGTTTGTAAATGATGTTGAAATTGTTTTTTCTAATATGATTCATTTTGAACAAGCATTCAAAGTAGTGCACGATGTTACATAAATTGCTCAGCGAAAGAAACTATACACTTGAACATTGGATTTGACAAAAAAAATACAAATGTTATATAAATATGATTATTGAATCAAAAACATCCCCATTAAAAAAACACTTTTGTCTGATTTTTAACCAGCATCAAACATTGTTGAATATTTTCTTTTATCCTGCAGTTTATGCACTTAAACTCAAAAGCTCGTACTTCAACATCTTCCCAAGGCAAGGGAGTTAACTGACCTCAAAAGCCCAGTTTCCATCCTTGCCTCGGCTGGAATTTCAGGGCTCGATTGTAGCGCCACCCTTGGTTATTACGAGTGATGTCTCTTCTATGTTCCTCCTATTGACCAATCAGATTCCACCTTTCATATCACTTGCATTTGCTTCAAGCAAAATGGCTGCGCCTAGTTAAGATGATCTGACCTATAATCAAGATCTATATTGTTAATGAAACAGGTCTTACCTCGCGAAGTGCATCAAACCGTATCAGCACTTTGTCGACCGAAATCTGCACAGCAGTTTATGAAAGGGATGTTGATTTTGTTACATGATTTTGATTGGACTATGCATAGACTTGTTAGTCCAGTGAAAACATTACTAAATAATTCCAGCCTAGTTCCAGCAAAGGTAGAAACTGGACTTTTATAGTCAGTTAACTCCCTTGCCTCGGGAAGATGGTACTTCAATCACTAAGTATTACTATATGGTTCTGAGACTTGAGTGTCACTGATCACCTACACCATGGGGTTTGGGGGTTAGAATTGATCCCCTGCGACATAAGCCAGTCACAAGAGGCAACTTAATGGATCAGAAGATCAGAATTGGTTGATTGGTTTGTACTCTTACAGCAAGGATCATTGCTCATAATATCAATCACTGGATTGCCTGGTCCAGATTTGAATATTTACAGGCCATACAGCTAGATTATTACACGTGGCACTAAAAAAACCAACAAGACAGGTCCAACATTAGAAATTGTCTCCAAAATATGACTACATATATCTTCCAGTGTTCCAATGAGTTTGGCTTACCCCTCCCTCAACACTACTTCAGTCCTATCTAATGTCAGAAAGCCTAAAGTGACACAGCTTGTAGCTGTTTTCCCATGAGGACAAATTAAGTGCTGTCAAACCAAGGATGATAATCAAGGCAAATACAGGAAACACAAGATCATAGCTATAGAAGGAAATGAAAGCGACAAAACCCTTTCCATAAGCATATGAAATCTCTGCCAGCTGTGACATGGTAGAACACTGAGCTATTCTTGCCCCTCCAATACAGTAGTGAGTGAGTTGGGTTGAACGCTGCTTTGAACAGTATTCCAGTTATGATCATGGTGTGTCAGCTTCATGTGGGAGTAAAGCCCAAAATGATGTAGGTCTTAGACATTTACCACATGTATAGTGCTGACAAAACTGGCAAACTGGGATTCGAACCAACAACAATATGTTTCTGCACAGCAAATAGTTGCCTTAGACAACTGGGCCACCTGGGCCACCTTCAATACCGTATGTGATCCCCAGGATATACTTTGGCTCGATATGTTGCTAATCACGACTAATCAGCAAATTCTTTTACAAATACGGTTATATCTAAAGATACAATCTGTATCCACACGTCTGATGTGTATCCTAAGTAAATGAACTAAACCATCATGCTACCTGAAATCCAATTTGTTTGCAAAGAAGAATTTAATAAACACAATATAGCTAATGAACACTTGCAATGGTCAGTAAAAGGAGTCACAAGAACTATTTTTGTATATTTCGCAATATCTTTTTCCTGTTTTCACTCTTCTAGCTTGCCAGACAAACATATTAACACTATGTTGAAGTCATCAAGGGAACCAGCAGTCACAGAAAGTGTGCTTGGAACTTGACAGCACTTGATATTCATATTTCATACAGCATGACGAACACACTCTACCAACATCACACTGGTCCAGTTCCAGGAATAAAAAAACATATAATGATTTATAGTATCACGCTCCCGGGTCACATGAATAAAAGGTAGTTGGTATTATTAGCAATTTAGTACAAATATATTGACATGAAGCAAGTCCGGTGGGAGTGAATGTCATTCTACAGTCTGTTTGATTGTGGCACACCTGTATGAAAGCTTAAGGGAACTCATACACACTATGTATTTGTTACCAAAATGATAATGGCTACAAAACCGAAAACAACAGTTCGTGTTTATTGTTATCTTAATACTTTCACTCATTTAAGCTATTTCCCATAAAAATATGTTATATACTGAATAAGGGAGGAGGGGGTAATAAGTGGTGCACTTGTGCCCAATCCCTTTGTCATTTTGGACAATAAAATAAGAAGAAGAAAAGTTTGAGATCATTAATATTTTGGGGGATTTTATTTTCACTTCCAAAAAGTATCCCCCAAAATACTTATGATGCCTAACTTGTTTTGCTCAGCATATATATTTGGTTTCTACTTAATTTTCTGTTTAATTTTCTTGAATAATTTACTTTTACTGCAGATTTTCATGTTTTTCTGTGCACAGTAAGAAGTGTTATTTATTCATGAATATAATTCACAGAATAAACTATGGCAAAGAAGACATATTTATATATATGAGAAATCATATTGAGAACCTATATATGATGGACCAAGATTGCAATATACCTATACAATCATCAATGCATCTTGGTCTTTTATGGTGCTCCAACACTGAAGAGGTAATCATAATCAAGAACAATTGTCCCCAACCAATCCCCATTCAGTCACCTACAGAAACAAGCATGAGACAACCAGGACACACACTGTATCATCGTTGAGTTGACTCTCACTGAGTTGACTCTCATTGAGTTGACTCTCACTCACTCACTCACTCATTGGGTTGACTCTCACTGAGTTGACTCTCACTGAGTTGACTCTCATTGAGTTGACTCTCACTGAGTTGACTCTCATTGAGTTGACTCTCACTGAGTTGACTCTCATTGAGTTGACTTTCATTGAGTCGACTCTCATTGAGTTTACTCTCACTGAGTTGACTCTCAGTGAGTGAGTGAGTGAGTGAGTGAGTGAGTGAGTGAGTGAGTGAGTGAGTGAGTGTGATAAACATACTATGTTTTCAATGTAGAACTGAGTTACCTGAAGACTTAAGCACTCTCAATTGAATTTGGGACCGAACGTGCAGCATGAGGTTTCAAATTTTAAATTAAGTGCTGTTCCATCTATGGATGACCTAGCTCTACATTGAAAACACAGTAGGTTTATCTCCACTCGAACATGACTAAAAAAAACGTGATCTCTTTCGTGTTAGCAAATACCTTGAGTGATGCAGCATGGGTTGAGTCCAGTGTTTAGAGTGAGTGTCGATCAGAATTTATGGAATCACCAACAACAACCTCTAAACCAAATATGGCGCTCTATACGCTCCAGCAGTTTGTTAACACAGTAATAAATCACTCGAATTTATACCGGGCACTGAAAGCATGTAGCACGGCAACTTTGTAAGCTAACATGAGGCAGGCAACCCTAAAGAAAACTAAGAAAGCCTTTGAAAAGGTTTCGATATACATCCCAAGCCACTATTATGACATCATATCGCTTATTGTGATGGAAACGATATGATGTCACAGTCTCTTATAGGAAGCACCAAATAGCTCTCTGTTGTCCTCAGATACATTCTTTTGTAGATTTCTATCTGAATTGTACTGCAACATATCCTTTGAACATTATAGCAACTTTGCATTTTGTAGCCTATAATTGTACATATAATTATATAAATTTGCCTACTGATAATGACTATTCATTATTCTCAAAATATTAGCTTCCACGGTGGTGCGGGTGTCAAATCAGCTGTTTCAGTCAGAAGGGGTTCATTTATTCTTAACAACCTTGAATGACCAATCAGAAACAAGTAATTTCCAAATTCATGGTAGAATGTGGTTTTACACTGCTTTTAGCAACATTCCAGCAATATCAGGGTGGGGAACACCAGTAACAAGCTTCACACATTGTGCCCATATGGGGAATCAAACCCGGTCTTTGGTGTAATGAGCGAAAGCTTTAACCACTGGAGTACCCCACCGCCCCTAAAGGCAAGAGACTGTGACTTTCATTCATTTTTTAATCTATGGACTCCAACACAGATCACTTCCGGATCTCCCAAGTTTTAGGCAGTACTATGAGTTCGTCATACTCGTAATATATTGTTTATCATGATAGGAGACAAGGCAATATCCACATGGAGGCAATACAACGACAACAACAACAACAACAAGAAGATAGATGATTCTTACATCAAGGAATTTCTTCCATCCTCACCGGGACTGTGTCAAACACAGAAAAATGCCTCCCGACTACTTTTTCTGGAGGTTTGGCATGACATGTGAATCATAGCAAGTGATGTGAGATAATTGTGACAATCACATGTCAAGCTGTGCAATTGCCATGAAACATGCATATATCAGAATTATGCAACATATGCCGGAAATATTCCTGCTGGTATGCTCTGAATGACCATGTTATTAAGTACCCAAACTTTGCAATGTGTAATCACCGTGTCAGTCATGTAGACAGATGATAATGTAACCACAATTATCCAAGCATTAAATTCTTCTAATTTCATGGGGTAATGTGTTGTTCTGTACTTGGTTGTGAACTGTAAACAAGGCAACATGCAGGGGGACTGTACCGCTGTGTACAGAACGTTTAAAGAATGTTGTTTAACACCACAGTCCGCAACATGCAGGGAGACTGTACCGCTGTGTACAGAACGTTAAAAGAATGTTGTGCACTCATGGGTGCTGAATGACTGTCAAATAGTCAAATCACATAGCCTGATAAACAATACCCCATTAAGTAGACTCTGACAACAAGCAAGACTGGGGACCCAGACTAAAATCTCCACAGGGAAGAAGGGGTGAGGTGAGTCAGAAATATGAATGATGCCATATTTACCCTTATCCCCTTAATGCCTAATGCCAGGCAGGGTAACAACAAGTTCCATCTTATATACGATCAGGTTAGGGAATCAAACCACCCCTCTTCCTCTCCCCCAGGCAGACGCTACATCCAGAAGGCAATGGAGGAGGTCTGACGAACTTTCAGGGCCCACTTCATGGCACAGACATAAAATGAGTGACTGAATGTTACATCCACCGTCACCAATATCCCTGCTATATTAAGGCATCCTATAAAACAGAGCCTGGACCAGTCAAACCAGATACATGATCCATGAAAAGTCCCTCATGCTGTCAGAGCAAGCCGACAGACAGTGATCAGGTCACACATCTCAACCACATGATCTTTTTGTTCACTAGACAAGTATAGGGTGCTGACGACCCATTGTACTCTGGAATCCTCTTAAAAAAACCATTCAGACATAGGTTTCAAGTTCAGACTAAGTCTAGAGAATTCATCATTTCATATTGCCTGATTTTGTCCACGGCTTGGTCGTCAACAGTGTCACAATTCAACATGCTTCTCTTAGGCATGGCAGAATCCTATAAATATTGTGTCCAAATCCCAGTTTTCACCCTGATCACAATTATGGGCATGTTAGCACCATACATGAGCTTTTCTTCTACATTAAACTACTTCTTTGACACATTAATTGAAATTGAAGTAACTTTTACCTCTGCAAGATTATATCAAAAGTCATATCTCTAGTGCAATAACCTTTGATTATCAAGTCCCATCAATTCCCATTTTCTGTTACACAATGAAACCTGAGCTATATATAGCAAACGACAACAGTATGATTAAACAATATTTTGCTCAACATAAGTATGCTAATTTTTCAAAACACTTCTAATTAAACTGCGTTTGTTTTATGGCTCAAGCAATATCCTACATTCAGCAATTAAATTTCCACTGACAATAACATTACACTGACAATGAACACTAACAACATGTTTTTCGCCTTGTGCATCTTGATCTATACTAAATATACTGACCAAGAAAATTCATGATACAAGGAGTCATTGAACTCAGGAAAATGTTTCAAAAATTGTATTAACTTACAACTGCATCAATAATATTAACTTACTACAGCATCAATAATATTAACTTACTACTGCATCAATAATATTAACTTAAAATTACTACTGTATCAATAATATTAACTTACTACTGCATCAATAGAGGTTATCACGCGAGTGTGTTTGGGGATGGTAAATATCCTGCATTAGGAATAAACATTGTATTTAGCGAACCTTGGCGAGCCATATAGATAGTGTTTATTCCTAATACAGGATATTTACCATCCCCAAACACACAAGCATGATAACCTCTTTATCATATAATGTCATTCTTCATTCCTGTGCTCGAAAATCTCTTTCATATTTAACAAACATTACCTAAACATTGCATGTTTTCCTGGAATGTGCGCATTAATTAATTTTACATAAGAGGGTAAGTGATGTGTCTGTCGGACAGTGACGGTAGCCAATATAGTTCCAACTAAAACCAGTTTCTTATACAGTGGCGTAACTACATATATGCAAAACAACAATTCACTACACAAATTGTTTTACTTGCATTTCGTGGCAATCCATCAGTCTGTCCGTTAGAGTAACTGCCCTTTATCAAAGGGAAGCTACTCAAACCCTAGAATATGAAACGTCATGGCCACAGTCAGACGTTGTTGACAGTCCTGTCAAATCGTCATGAAGTGCAGTCAGATGTACACACAAAACTTGTAAAATGCCTTAGCTACGTCACAGGTAGACACTTATTTTCAGAATATTAGACTATTCTTTTGATAAAGATATCTGAGTACTTTCTCCAGATTCCTGATGGTTAATTCTGACTCGATCGCTGAATGACAAGGGCAACGCCATGTTTGTTTATAAACAGTGAAAGTAGTCCCTTCTTGACCTTTGATATTTGCATCTCTATCCGAATATGACCCCAACAGATTTCGTTTTTATCCGTTGGCTTTATCCAGCTGAGAAACTCATGAAACTTTATATGATAAATAATATTAACTATCTACAGCATCAAACATGGCATGATACTGAATCACTGATTCTAAATTACAATATCACAAATACGATTCAGAAGAAATGTGGACCTATTACAATAATATATGCCCAATTGATGTATTTGATCATTCACAAACCTATAACTGAATCCAACATGAACTGTGATGCATATGTTACTTTCTTGACAGTATTCTCTCATGTATTAATAATGGTACATTTGCACCTATAAGGAAATTTCCGATTGACTCAATGTGACACCTAGTCACTTCTAATGTAGCACTTCCTCTATCATACATTGTCCTAAACACATTGAGGCAGCCTTACACCTACTTATAGTTTCAAAAATATGACAGAGTCTTCAATACAACAAATTCATCATCACCCATCTTCAGGTCTCTGTGACATCTTTCATGGATATTGATATAAGAATGTCAGCCAATTTAGCAATGGTCAATTTTCATTATCATTATATGTCACATGATTGCATTTTCTTTTAAGAATTAAATAAAAATAATTAGAATTGACTTTCACTTTGTGTGAGTTCACTGGAGCATAAACCTTCAGACAGTAAGCAAGCTCCAGTGTTCATGCAGTTCGTCACTCACTCTATGAAGGTTCATACTCCTATGAACTCAAGACCGCCTCCGTGGTATAATGGTAGAGTGTCTGCCCGGAGAGCGGAAGGTCTGGGGTTCGATCCCCAGCTGCATCATACCAAAAGACGTTAAAAGATGGTACTTGTTGTTACCCTGTCTGACGCTCGGCATTAAGGGGCTAAAACAAGGACTGGTCGGCTCGGAGTCAGTATACTGTGTCTGAGTGGGGTATTCATGTTAAACTGCGGCATGGTATCTCAGTGTGCCAGCACTATAAATCAGCATCAGTCCGCTCTAGTACAAGCAGCCACACAAACACACACACGTACATGCACGTCGCTATATAAGTGCAATAATCTTGAACGCGACGTTAAACCTGATTTCATCTCACATCTCATCCTATGAACTCACAAAGTGAAAGTCAGTTCGAATTGTTTTC